TTAACATTAAATATTAAATGGATGAAGAGTAGTCAAAAAGCGATATCCTTTCAGAACCTATCAAGCTTAAGGGTCTTAGTCTGACGTATGCAATATGAAAAAGATAGTTGGAAGAAGAGTGAAATGGCCCAGTGCAATTCAAGAGGTACTAAGCACCCCAGGGATTTGTTTCACGAAGAGGTTTTAAAAAATCTTTTTTGACTTACAAGCTCATATTGCCTTTCCTCTAATTCCTGGCACTAGTCAGAGTGCAGGTATTGTATGCTCAGAACTCCGAAAATGGGGTCTGACACCTTATCTCCCTAAAGCTGATTAGAGAATATATCCAAACCTGTATCTCTACATGACTATGTTCGGTTTAGTACTAGTTTTGACATGATGAAACTTAAAGAAACCTGGAAAGAACCTAGGGACATAATTTAATAAAAAGGATTATATAGTTTATTAAAGACCTTGACAGAGCCAACACAGGAAACCAACTCTATCTCAAATTAACTATCAATCTTATTCAAAATTTATTACTCGCCTCCAAAAAAAAAATCCTATCCACAGGCCTGGATGATTTACAGTGGGACTAAAGAGGCTCCCAGTTTGTAAACATGATTGGCCTGCAGTACATCTCTTTTGACATTGCTGGTATCTAAAGTAAAACATCATATTCCTTGTCTACCTAAGTTGGGGTGTTAGAACCTACTGAGGATTCTGTAGTCTACCAAGAAATTTAACTGTTTTGAATTTTAGAGTCAAATTTCATGGAATCATACAAAATTCTAGTTATACAACTAAAATAATGGTTTTATTCCATGACATTCTATTTCTTTCATTTACTGAAGGCTTTAAATGTAAATAAATGGCAAAAATTATGAAGTTATATTTATGTAATATCTTTCTTTTATATAGAGGTATAATTATATTTTTTATCTGACAATATCATTATACTATCAGGAAGAGCAGATCTTAAACTTGTCTGGGAAGACTGAAGAAAAAAATGGATGGTCCCATATATATTTTTACTACTTAAGAGAAACTTTGTTTTTCACTGGTTAAACAGATTAATAGGGGATAGCAAAGTCCAATCAGGAAAGAGAACGTGTGTATGTTAAAGTGGGGGAATATGATGAACTCACAGGGCCTGAGAAGGGCAACAAAAGGAAGAAGAAATTGAGAATCTCTGATCTGATTAGATTCTTAACCTGAGTTAAGAACTCTGAATTCTTAAAACTTTTTTCAAGCCCTCATGAGCAGGAGGAACACCCGAAGCAGAAATACTGGTATAAAAAACGACAGTCCTAATAGTAATCATCTGTTTATCAGAAGCTGCAGGCAGCTTCACATGTGTGAGGCTGGTAAGAAAAACCTCTCAAACCCCACAGCATATTCCCCAAAGTAGATCTGCAGCTTGAAATCAGCAGAGTGGATGCATTTTCTGTGACCAGGACTATGACTAAAAATATCCTCCAGGTTCTTTTGTTCCAGATGAAAGTGCTACTTGGGTAAATTTGAGCTTTCAAGTTGAAAAAAAAATGCATTGTAAATAAATTGAATAAATTGTAAATATGTGTTTCTTACTAGGACAGAGATTTAAGATGTTAAGAGGTTTTGGGTTTTAGAGTAAACAGCCTTTTTGTGGAGCAGCTTGGTTGAGGCATAACTGGTACATAGAAAGAGCTGTTCATGTTCGGATACTTTCAGACATGTGCGTACACGCATGGCACTACCATCATGGTGAGCCAACTTCAAACAACAGCGAATATAGGACTGTTCCATCGTAAGAGGCCCAAAGTAGTTACTGATGTAAATGTAGGAGATCTTTCTTTCAAGTGACTTAATTATTTTATTTTCTGTCATAACTGAACTGAAGGAGTTAATAAAAAGTATTAAAAATATTTTTAACAATAAGTATTATATTTTAAATCATATTTTTAAATAAGTAAAGCATTAAATAATAGGAATAACAGATATTATTTGTTTTTTTAAGTTTACATATGGAGAAATAGATGGGTCCTGATTTTAAAGTAACTTGCCTAAGATGATAGAATAGATTTAGAAGTAGAACTAGGGTTAGAATATACATTCCTAATAGTCTATACAAATCTGGCTAAGGATCTAGCCTAGGAAATTGAGTAAAGATTATAAAAACAAAGGAGGATTATTCCCTGATCAAAGGTGAGTTCCTAAGAGGACAGAAGCCCTGAAGAAAGTATCATGCCTGTAAGAAGAGCACCAGGCTAAATGCTAAACTGGAGATGTGCATTCCTGCAAGGACAAGACTAGGTATGTTAATGCATGGGCATTAGAACACAAAGCCTTCTTGTTTGTATGGGTTTCTTCCCAAGAGCTTCTAATCTGAGGATAATACATTAAATTTTAAAATGAGGAGGCAGCAGTCAGAAAGTGTTAGACTCGCCAGATGAATTCATAAAATCAGGAGATAATACTACTGGAAGTTTTACTTAAGAATATATACAAGTTCACATATGTACCCCTTTTAGCAAAGGATATGATTATAGAAATGCAAATGTGAAAACACATGAAAAGAAATTTTACTTGTCACATTTATATATAGCCATATTGATTACAGGCTGTAATTGCAATTTATGCAATTAAACTTTTATTTTCAATTTGTAGTATGTAGGTGGGAAACAAAATGGAACCAGGAATAGCTATACTTTTCTCCACGCAAACTTAAAGTTATTTTTATATAACACTGTAAATTTATTAAAGGTTTTCTCATTGTCTAATTTACTTCTTACAAGAACCTTGAGGGGTGCACAAGGCAGTTTAATCCCTGGATTTATGACAGGAAAACTGACTCACATAGGCTTAAATTCTAATAACTAGAATCTTAATACATTCTTCTTCATTTTTTGAGAAGATGCAATATTCCAAAGTATTCTTATAACCATTAATATTACCTATAATGAATATCTAGTATTATTATCAAAAATACCATTAAAAATATCAAAATTAAAGTATTTTCAGTCTCTCTATATTAACATATGTGGTACATACATGCATCCAGATGGAAATTCATATGGAATACAGGTCTATATTACACAACAAATTACTACACAGCAAAATATCTAAAAGGCTCTTTTTAATACTGGTTATCTGCCTCTAAGTTAATTGGAAAATTAAATTGATAGCTATAGCATATAATTTTCAAAAAGTCCAAATCATCCAGAATTGCCACAATACTCAGATAATTTAGTCTTATACTAAAATACTTCATAAAAGCCAGATATGTAGCCATATGATTCAGTCAACAAATCTTTCCTAAGTAGGTTCAACTTATGCATGAAGTTACAGAGCCAAGGTCAAATAACATTTCCTAACTTCTTTTCACATGATCTTACTATGCAAATACATATGAGAACTTTTGGATCTGTTCCCAGACTTAATGTAGTTCTAACAATGCAGTACCTGTTGTGTGTGAAGACATGCTAAGTTCTGACATACATTCAAGGATGCCTAAAATCTACTTTTTCCCATAACGTAGTGAGATAGCTCATGGTAGCATTTTTAATCATGGGGAAAGAAGGACTACTACATTTAAAAGCTACATAGGAACATGGATATTTCAAATATAATTTACTGTTCATGGAAATTCACAAACCTTTCTTTAAGAATGAACAATTTTCTAACATCAGCAATGCTGTCAATTTTAAAAGATCAAAATAAGTTTAGAGGAAATAGCAATTCCAAGGAAAAGGTAATTCATAATGCATCATAGATAGGGGCCAAAGCCAAATTTTGGTAAGCATTCTAACCAGTTGGTGATAATAAAATATTGCTCCTAGTAGCATTCCAAAAATATTATAATCAAAATAAAATTGCTGACTTAGTGGCCAGATCTTGGTTTCTAAATACAATATAAAACCAGAGTTCCTTGGAGTGATTGATTTCAGATCTGGAGAAGGGAATACAAGATCAACCTGGAGCATCTTGTGCCAGAATGTAACAAAGTGCTCAAGGTCGGGGGCAAGTTGAAAGGACACCGGAGCCAACCTGAAAGACCTACTAATGGTCAATTCTGGTACTGTTGACTTACTGGAAAACAAAATAAGGAATAATAGTTTGGGATTATCAACATACAGAATAGAATAAATATTCACAAACTCATATTGATACAAATAAGCAAGTAAACAAATACATAACAGAAGAGAGAGTTCTTGCAGAAGAATGTCAAGTAATAAAAGTTGTAGGAATGAGAAGTAGAAAGTCACCACAGAAAAGAACTATTGCCTACAGTCAAGATCCACCAATGGATGCTAAAATTAGTGGGGGCAAGCTTGAAAAGAAACAGGATATTTATACAGTCTTAAAGTATCTCCTCCCAAATATTAATCTCAAAGGAAAAAAAGGGTAACTTTACAGTGTAGCAAACCTGCAGATACTACTTTAGCCAAGTGAAACTCACAAAGTAAAAAAGACATCTTGTTATCTCTGATATAATGCACCAGGAAGTGAAATAAAGAACATATTTAACCTGTATAAATAGCAGTGTATCATTTTTATCAGTTCTTGATCACCTTTATCAATATTTAAGATTTTCTATGTCTTAACATAAAAGTAAGAACAACAAACAAAAAATAAGTGTTTGTATATCATACTATTCAATGCACAAATGTTTACATAAGTCACATACACAGGGCCTAAACACATTTAAAAATGTTTTAAAGAGTATGCAATGTAAAACATTCGATTCTTGTGCACTTCTAGATATGTGCATATTTACGTTTTGGCAACATTTAAATTTTGACTGATGTCAAGTCTCTGTTAGTTCTCATTAACTTTTTTAGGAATAGTAGTGATGATCATGTTTGATCGAACTTACTTCTTAGATAAAATCCTAGGTGGAAACTTATTTTATTGGCTAACTATCCAAAGAAAGCATTTAAAAAAAAGCAAAACTCAACTGAGGGAGCAGGAAAGGAGGGAAGAGAGATCCAGGGAAAAAGGAGGACCAAGTGAAAATACAAGCCTGATAAGCAGCTTACCCTCGCTTCTTTTTTCTGCTTGTTTTGCTGCAGTTTCTTTTTTCTGTTTTGCTGCTAAAAGTTCCCGCTTTAATTGTCTCGCTTCTTTTCTGAGCTCCTCACTATAAAGCAAAAACAGGTATAAAAGTATATAATCTACTAAGAAAGAAAGTTAGCAGAAACTGAATTATTGGTTTTCAGGTACACTAAATCTCTGAGCAAAAAAAGAAAAAGAATAATGCAATATATGCAAGCATGTGAAACAAATGGATAAGAGATAAATGACTCACTGTCTTCCTCTAATTCTCTTGCAAATTTAACATTCCAGTTTCATAGAGATCCGAAATCACAACAAAATTTTTAATATAAATACTATTCACTAAATCTGGGCATACACAAGAAGATCTAGTTTCAAAGCTTGAATTCCTGAATTGGCACCAGTAACTACCATTTATTAAGCAAATTATTACATGATAGTTGCAGTGTAGGAATGTTTTTAAGCTCAATTTAACTCGATTAAATTTTTAACCCATTTAATACCACAGTATGGTAAATAATTTCCTCTTCTGTGAAACCTACCAGGTTCAGGTATTCTGATGATTAATATAATCATACATTAAAGGCGAACTGAGATGTAAATGTTCACTTCATTAGTCAATAGTTAACTAATTAGTTTCTACAAGCAGTTTTTGGGTAGGAGATTCAAATTCATGTCTTAGAAAAAAACTATTAAATACTCATGTTATGAATTCTTAGGGTCACTTGTGAATAGTCAAAACTAGGTGTTTTCTATCTATGAATGTCAAGCATCCACTCTGTTTTCAATAAAAGCTACTGTGGTCCAGGGATAGTCAGAGAACACTGTAAAGCTAAGCAGGCACCGCACTCTAGAAAATGTCTTCAGCGACATGCAAGCCAAAGTTTAGTGGAATCTTAAGTCTAAATAATTCCATGCTGATCCAGCCTTTAGTGCTTCCTCCTTAGCCTGAAATCACACTTTTTTTTAACCACTGTCCTGTATTAGAGTCACCAAACTGATGTCTTATAATGTGCACAACTCAGTTCTTTTTACCTCTTTTCTACATCAAACACACACAGCAATATTTTGTACCTGTTTGGCCTCCAACATCCTGAATTTTGAAGCTTCCCTCTCTGATTAAAATTCACTACCTTTTTAGCTTTCCTGGTTTTTCTTCCTACTGAACCTGTCCTCTCTCTATTAACAATGAAAGCCATCTCCTTTGTAGTTCATAGTCCACCAGCCCTATTCTAACTCAAATGTCTCTCCTTCCGTTCTAGATGATATGGTCAGTTATTTCACTGATGTCCTCAACCAGAACCCTTAATTTTCTTGGCTTGCTTGTCCTTATTGATACATCATAATCACCTGGAAGAACTTAACAACATGTTCCAGAAGACAAACATCCGGAGAACATGATTTCATTCGGCATGAGATGTTGCCTGGGAATTTACCTTGTTACAAGTTCCCCAAGTGATTCCAATACGCCCTTAGGTTTAGGACCCAATGCATTAGGACCTTGCTATAGAAATTATTTTCTCTTTCTTACATCTTCAAGTACTCCTACTCCTCTGAACCTTTCATTTGGCCGACAAAAATGTTCAGATATCTCTGGACTCTGCTCCAATCAAATGATTTGCATCATCACAAGTGGACTCCTTGCCTGAAATAATACTTCATATACACAGTACATATGTCATTTAGACTTAAGATTTTACTAAACCTTGGCTTGGGTGTCATTGAAGACCTTTTCTAGAGTGCAGTGCCTGCTTAGCTTTACAGTGGTTTAACTAGCCCTGTCCACTTAAGCTTTTATACATATATATATATGTATATATGTAGTTTACGTATACTACTTCTTTAACTGCTAGCTTCTTGCTATCTATCCTTTTTATATTCTACTGCAGTCTATCCTCTTCCTTTTTATATTCTACTGCAATCTATCCTCTTAATATCTTGCAATCTATCCTTTTTATGCTCTACTAAAACTGCTTCTGTATCAACAAAATTCAATGGTCTTTTCTCAGTCCTCCTCTTCTGCTTTGGCCTATCACTCAATGATATTAACCACTCCTTCCTTCTGGGGATTCTATCCTAATCAGACTATGTACTACTTTAGAGTCTTGATTCTCCACTTCTCCTTCTCCTAGCTATTCTTTCTCTTCTCAACCTATAATTGCTGGCATTTTTCTCATTTCTATACCATGTACACCAGCATTTTTACCTAATCTTATAACATTAACTATCACTTTTATATAGGTTATTTCCAATTCTGGACATTTTGCCCTGATTTTGGTCCTGCATTTATAACTATCTGTTACTAATCTCCTTGTATATTAGTGCTGCCCAATAGAAATATAATTTTCTTAGCAGCCACATAGAAAAAAATGGTAAGAGGCAACAGGTTAATTTTAACAATATATTTTATTTTACTCAACAATGCTATATACCAAAATATTATCTCAATATGCAGCTAATATAAAATACGCATATGGTATTTTCTTCTATTTTGTACTATAGTACTCAATCTGTACTACTTAGAGCACATCTCAATTCAAACTAGCCATATTCTATGCGTCCAGATCTAGATGGATAGTGGAGGCTAAATGTAATAATTACAAATTCTCTATTCCAAACTTGAAGTCATCTTCCTGCTCAAATCTGTTCCTTCTCCTGAAATACCTATTTGATTGTGGAACCATTTTTCTCCTAATGACCAGACTGTAAACTTCTTCTGGGACTTTCTCTACTCTTTTACTGAATCACTGTTGAAGTATGTCATTTCCAATAAGTAGTTCACATGTAAATACTACTCTTGCCTCTCGACATCAATGCCTAGTTTAGGTTATTTAGGCTCTGATAATTTATGTTTCAGATAAATGTAATTACTTCCTATTTCTTGAAGTTAAATGCACATTGGGAATTGCAACCACATCTCATCCACTAAATCCCTTATCTTTTTATTATATTAGCTTAAAAATTTCTTACTTTGGTAACTAACTCAGGAATTTAGATGATGTCTTTGAAGACTATTTTGGAAGATGAAGAGGAAATGCTGTATGATGGCTGAACAAACATTATAAGAGTAATCTGAAGTATGCAAAGGCTGAGAGGCAATGAAAGTATATAATATTGTAGAGGCAGTAGAGCACAGTTATTAAAAGGATTAACTTTGGATTCAGAAAGTTCTGATTTAAAAGCTAATGCCATCACTTATTGTCTGGGTGACCTAAAAACAATTACTTAAATTCTTTGAAGCTCAGTTTCCTTAACTATAAAATTAGGGTAAGGTATTTAAAATATTGGGCACACAATGCATGTTCAATAAATGGTAGCTATTTAATTATTTAGATCATATATTAACATTAGCACTACAGTTAAGGGTTGGTTTGTCATGTAGGAATATTTCCTTATTATGTTATTTACTATATAAATGAATGCTATCTCTATGACATATGGAGATTAACTGCTCATAATTTTTAACAAGGGCAATGAATACATCATGCCAGCTTCTAAAAATCTATCCTTAAATAGTCAAAGATTTAGATGCACTACTGAAGTAGCCATAATATATAAACTGAACAACGATTAATAAAACTCAAAAAAGACAAAGTGAGACAGAGAAGAGTAGATCTTTGCATATTATTAAAAACTGCTTCACTATACTGAATTTTTCAAGTGATTAAGGATTTACAACATGGCCAAAATCTTTCAAACTATTCAAACAACACCATTTGTTAGTAGTTGTGGAATCCATAACTCTTTGAATGAAGTATAAGTTTTGAAACTATTCTTTCGATTACAGTCTAATTTTAGAGTTCCCAATCTTCTATTCTCTGGAATATAATTCTGTCCACTGGTACTAGAATGTATTTAAAACTTTAAAATAAGAATGACAATTGTAAGCCTGGAGTATCTGTCACCTTATATTGCCAAACTATGGGCTTATTTCAGAGTCCAGGCAGCTTTCTTGTTCCCTCAGAGCCTAGTTTCTGCTTCTGTGGTAAAAGAAATGGCTTTTATAAGACCCTCTTAACTCTAAGCTAATTATCTTTTTTCCTAATAGGTATGTTTCTATTTTGAATTCACTTGAATTTTAGTATGGTTTGTATGATATCACTGTTATCCATCAAATAGTTTTGCATTGTGTATATATTTTTAAATCTGGTATATCTGCAATACGATCTGCTCCGATGAAAAAGAGAATTCTTTTTGGAAAATTAGCCCAATGCCATCACCCTAGAAATCATAGTAGTCTGCATATTTAATAACAGCAAAGAAATTACTAATCTATTAAAAAATTTCTTAAGCATCTAATATTTGTACAGTACCATTTTGAATGATGGCACAGAAATCAGTTATGCCCCTCATCACTTACACTTCTCAATAACCTGTGACATAGTCATTTTCAAGGTAAGAAGATTGAGGCTTATGGACATTAGTTAGCCTATAGTCACACAGTCTACCAGTAAGTGATAGAGGTAGAAACTTAAAATGGGATTGTCTGAATTTTATGTCTATGCTCTTTCCATTTTGGTACACTATGATATCTTGAGAAAGTCCCCAAGGAGTCTAAGTTCCAAGGCAGGACATATATTTTGTACATAAATAATAACAGTACATAATAAAAAGTGCTAACTGTCATGACAAAGAAATGACTGAAATATTTTGAAATTCAGAAAAGGAAAGATTACTATAAGCTAAATAAGGGATGGCTTCACAGAGCAGGGCGTCTGAACTGGGCTCTGAAAGATGAGTAGGGGTTACCCATGTGGAGATACAGGGAAGAGGCATCTAAGCAGTATATCTAAACCCAAACAGGGATGTGGGAAAACACAGGGTACATGTTAAAACATTATGTTAGAGCATAAATTATTTAAAGGGGGTCTCGGGCTAGTAACAAAATGGCTAGGAAGAGAATGATGCAGAGTCTAAATGCCAAGCATTTGTGAGTGGGCAGGTGAGAATATTCTCCTTAATACCTTTGAGTTTCCAATTTTTCTTCTCTCTAACCCATTTCTCAACTGTACTGTCTTCAGTTTACCCACTTATTACCTTATTATTACCCATACACTCCTTAAAATGTTGGCCTAGTAGTAATTT